CCCCCCTGGCGGTGCCCCCTGTACTGGCCAGTCCCTTCGCCAGGAGTGACCCACTGCAGGGCTGGTGGCACCCCGTCCCCCTCCCTGCCGCCGGGGTTGGGAGGAGGACCAGCCTTATCAGCCCCCAGCTTGTGGTCGTGCCGCAGGGCTGCCGGCACAGATCTGGCGCTTGCTGGCGGGCGTGCCGGGCGAGGCGTCCTATCTGCATGTGCGTGTGCATGCCTGCGTCCCTGCGCCCCTCACTGCTGTACGATAATAAAGCCTTGTCACCACCTGCCTTGCCTCTCATCTGCTGCCTCCCGTGCCCGTCTGCCCGGGCAGTGCCGGAGCCGGTGCTTGACCGGCCGTGGCATGGGCTGGCTGGGGGCTGCTGGCCCCAGGACAGTCAAGATGTTCCCGCTGGGATGGGGGAACAAGGAGTGCATGGAAGTGAGGTCCCAGCTCATGCAAAGCCCCTGGGAGCTCATGGCTTCCCCCTGGTCACTGTGTCCCCTTGCCACATCCCTGGGGCAGCTCCCAGCCAGCCCTAGGTAGGGGTAAAGCCTTGCCCTGCTCCCAGATGCGTGGGTATGGAGCCAGGAGCCCCCGTGGGTGGCTGGTGAGCTCCGGCTGCATCGCCCTCCTTAGCCTGGGAGCTGATCGCTGCAGGGACACCCCAACCAGCGGCACCCCGGGGTCCGGAGTGGGGCTGACATGGGCTGAAGGCTCTGCCCGTCCCAGCAGCCAGGTGAAACAGCTCGTGCTACCACCATCTCCCCCGGCTCTGCCCCCGGCCCCAAGCAGCCCCGTGCCCTTGCCCTGCTGCCAGAGCCCATTGCGCCCTGTGGGGGCCAGGCAGCACCCATGGCACCCCCTCGGCCTGGTGTCCCCATCCCAGTCCCGCACACCCTGCCCTGCACTGAGGGACAGCAGGGTGGCTCTGGGGGTTCCTGTCCTTCTCGGGGTGAGCCTGCTTGTGGGAGCAGCGACAGCAACGGGGCTCATCCAGGGGGCTTTGCTGCACTGCCCTCCCCGGGCAAAGGCAGTTCCCTCGTGCCCTCAGGACCCTCTGTCTCCCCCCAGGCTGGGCAGGGGCAGGGGCAGGACAAAGGGCCCCGTAGCAGGGTGGCCCTGCAGATACACCGGGTGGGCACAGCTCGGCAGCCCCCCCGGTGGCTCCTTATCTGCGGCCAGACACACTGCCATGGAGCAGCATGGCTGGTGGGAGGGCTGTGGCACCCGGGGGTCCCCACACGGGCTCCATGGTGCCAGCCTGGGGGCTGCTCAGGTCCCCTCCGCCCCACGGGGTGCAGGGGGGTGCAGGGCCCTGTGGCAGGGCTGTCCCCATGCGCCCTGGGTGCCAAGGCCAACCTGGATGGGGACAGTGCCATGCGGCTTGCCTGGGGCTGGCCAGGCTTGGGGGGCTCTCGGGGACGCTTTGCCTGTATCCCTGCTCTAGGTGCTGGGGTGCTTGTGCCACAGTTGGGGGAGCACTACAGCCCCCCCCAGGACACCTCTGGGTCACAGTAGGGGCCAAAGACAGGAGGGGATGGTCCCTTGTAGCCCCCAAGTCCCAGCATCCTCATGCCTGGGGACAGGCTAGTGCCAGGGCTTGACCCAGTGCCACCTCCTGCCGGGGTCTGGCTGGGCTGGGGGGAGTGTGGGTGATGCTGCCCCTGTTCCTGACACCCAGAGGTGACAGTGAGTCTGGGGACACCTCATGTGGCAGGGCAGGGTCCCCGATAGCCGGACGCTGCTGCTTATCAGGGCCCACACACAGACAGTCCCGGCGGGGGATTATCACCTCCCTGCAGGCGGCTTCCAGGAACGCCGGCGTGTCCTGGCGCAAACAGCCAGGGGCAATGGCACGGCGCTTGCTGCAGGATGTGGCCCTGTGGGGACAGACAGGGCCGGGGACATGCATGACTGGGGGACACGTATGACCAGGGTCACGCACAGGGGACACGTATGACCAGGGTCACGCACAGGCAGGTGACACTCATGGCCAGGGGGCTGCAGCCATTTGGGGACACCAGTAGCCAAGGGACAGGTATGACACAAAGGTCACAGAGGTGACACAGCCCTCTTGGGGACATACATGGCTGGGGGGACATGTCCTTTGGGGACACACAGCTGGGGGATACATCCCTTCAGGGGACACATCCCTCGGGGGGGTACACATGCAGGCAGGGGAACATTTACTCCCAGAGGACATGTCCCTGCAGGCTGGGGGGGCACATCTTTTTTTTGGAGGGGGGACATATCCCTCAGGGGAGCATATACGGCCAGGAGAATGCAGCACTTTGGAGGCCACCCACCCCACAGAGACACAGGCTCCCCTACATGCATGTACCTCATCTTGGGGGTGCCTGTGCAGGGTGACCCCCTGCAGCCGACATGTCCCCCACCACCACCACCCCGGGGCCCCATCCCCATGGAGCTGCCACCCTGCCATGTCCCAAAGCCCCTGTCCAGCAACTGGGAACTGGTTTGTAATGGGTAGCTCCCAGTTTGTGGTCCTCTCTGCCTATGGGGACAGGCAATCCTGGTGACCACAGGGGTAAAGGCAGGAGGACAGGGGGGTTTGCAGGGGGCAACCCCCCGTGCCAAAGGCACGAGAGGTGGCCCCCCACAATCCCCCTCTCCCCAAGTCCCCCATGGGCTATGCCAGGCTGGGGGGAGCGGCTTGGGCCTGTGCCGCCCCAGGCATGAAGGGGTTAAGGGGCTCCCGTCCAGCTGTGCAGTGCAGATGTGAGATATGCAGATGAGGCAGAGCAGGTTTTATAAGGCGGGTGCAGACCCTGCAGCCTGCAAAACCCCTGGTGCCACCCCCATAGGTAGGTGTCACCCTCCTGGGGGAGCTGCTGCCCCGCTCTGGGGTGGGGGGGATCAAGAGAGGGTAGGGGGGGATGCTGGGGTGGGGAGACCATTGGGAACCTCCATCCCACTCTGGGGCAGCAGGACTGGTGGGGACCAGGATGATGTAGTGGGGTGCTGGGGTGGGGTGGCCATTGGGAGCCTCTGTCCCACTCCGGGGCAGTGGGACCAGGGGAACAGGGATGGGATAGGTGGCCCTGGTGCTCCCTAACGGTGCTCTCCTCCCACACAGGCGCTGCTCTCCGGCCACCCCACGTGGCACGCTGCCCGCCGCCCCGGGCAGGATATCATCGTATACTGTAAGTTCACTATGAGACACTACAGTATAGATGATGTACTCCCCCGGGCTGCACCCGCCAACCGGCCCAGAGTGGGGGACACGACGTGGGACCATGGCGTGGGGCACGGAGGGATGGGGGACATGCGGCTGGGATGGGGGACCGTGGAACCAGAGGGACAGGCTGGGGGGGCATATGGGGAGGGGAGGCTGGGGGGCCACGG